GTAACAAGGGCATCGCTACTAGTAACAAAGGCATCGCTACTAGTAACAAGGGCATCGCTACTAGTAACAAAGGCATCGCTACTAGTAACAAGGGCATTGCTACTATTGACAAGGGCATCGCTACTATTAACAAGGGCATCGCTACTAGTAACAAGGGCACCCCAACTAGTAACAAGGGCATCCATACTAGTAACAAGGGCATCGCTACTAGTAACAAGGGCATCCCTACTAGTAACAAGGGCATCCCTACTATTAAAAAGGGCATCCTTACTAGTAATAAGGGCATCGCTACTAGTAACAAGGGCATCCCTACTAGTAACAAGGGCATGGCTACTAGTAACAAGGGCATCCCTACTAGTAACAAGGGCATCGCTGCTACTAACAAGGGCATCCCTACTAGTAACAAGGGCACCCCTACTAGTAACAAGGGCATCCCTACTAGTAACAAAGGCATCGCTACTAGTAACAAGGGCATCGCTACTATCAATAAGGGCATCCCTACTAATAACCAGGGCACCACTGCTAGTAACAAGGGCACCCCTACTAGTAACAAGGGCACCCCTACTAGTAACAAGGGCATTCCTACTAGTAACAAGGGCATCGCTACTAGCAACAAGGGCATCGCTACTAGTAACAAGGGCATTCATACTAGAACAAGGGTATCGCTACTGGTAGCAAAGGCATCGCTGCTAACAAGGGCATCACTAGTAACAAAGGCATCGCTATCAGTAACAAGGGCATCGCTGCTAGTAACAAGGGCGTCGCTACTAGTAACAACGGCATCGCTACTGGTAACAAGGGCATCGCTACTCACAGGGGCATCGCTACTAGCAACAAGGGCATCGCTACTGGTAGCAAAGGCATCGCTACTAGTATCAAGGGCATCCCTACTAGTAACAAGGGCATCGCTGCTAGCAACCTCTAGTAACAAGAGCATCGCTACTAGTGACAAGGGCATCGCTACTAGTAACAAGGGCATTGCTACTAACAACAAGGGCATTGCTACTGGCAACGGGGGCATCGCTACTAGTAACAAGGGCATCGCTGCTAGTAACAAGGGCATCGCCACTAGTAACGAGGGCACCGCTACTAGTAGCAAGGGCATCGCTGCTAGTAACAAGGGCATTACGACTAGTAACAAGGGCATCGCTGCTAGTAACAAGGGCATCGCTACTAGTAACAAGGGCATCACTGCTAGTAACAAGGGCATACTAGTAGCTAGAAGCTACTAGTATGGCTTCCTCTAAGCCCTGAACCCCGTCTGATAGCGAGCTTTGCCCTGCTGGAGACATGCCACGTCGCAGCAATGGAACTGGTGAATGCCGGCACCCGTGTTCAGGATGCAAAAAGAAAACTCACCTGAAGAAAAACCCAAGAACGGAAAGCGGGCTCTTAAACGGTCCAAGAAAAATCTGATTCAACCCCAGATCATGATCATGCAGAAACCACATTCCAGATAATTATAGATAGGTTGACAAGTTGAAAACAAAAAGACATATGTAGTGAACATCCATGTAAATATGCTTTGGTTGACTGTTCGTTCAGTAATGTAGCTGTATGGCAAAAAGGGTGAACCGAGGTGAAGCCTTCAGCCCGAGACATGGTTAACCATTTGCCAGGGAGCTTTCGGAGTGCTTCTGAATCAAATACCTGAGCGAAGGACTGTTCTTGAGAACGCCGTGATTTGAGAGAAGACACTCCCGAGCTCTGGTGCAACTTGTATTGCTCCGTTAAATGCCATGGCGCATGAGAGCGTGGCCACCGGCATCTCCTCGCCAGCCGCCTTCACACAACCAACGCCCACCCGTTGGCAGCGCGAAGATCTCTTTCCTGATTTGCGGAAAACGAAACACCCTGCAAATGACAACGCCAACAAAAATAAACGACAAGAAACCGCCGGCCCAGAAGTGAAGAAAGAACCAAGCAAAAGAACACTGCTTCGAACAAGAGTCCGTGCTTTTTTGCACCAGCCGATGCCATCCTGAGTGATTATAAGCAAACCAATGAGTTCTAACGCCAAATTTGCCCAAATGGAATGCAAAGAAAGGTAGGCCGTAAGAACAAAACACATCATAGGAATCTTCTCCAAAACAACTTATAACTAGCGCCTCTGCACTTTGAAAAGCCTGTTGCGCTTCCTCGCTACGCTTCAGGGCATCCTTCATGAGTCGTATAGATTCACCTGGGACGGAAACACCAAGAATTTGAAGTGTCGAGTCTGAAGACTGTTTCTTTCCCTGGCAACCCTACGCCCCAAACTTTGGCTCACAGTCAGCGGTTCCCATGAGAGTATTTCCGGAAAGCCACTGGCACCTGTCAAGAAACTTCATGACTTGGACCCAGGTCCGATGCAAAAACATCTGCCGCAAAGTGTCTTCAGACTGTCCCCAGCTTGCGGTTTCTGAGTTGACATCGAACCAACATGAACTGACTATGTAACGGTGTTGTTCCACATCTGCAACCTGTACTGATCTGCAAGCACAAATCCGAAAGAATTTCATGAAGATCAAAACTCCACGGGTCAGCCTACTTAGTTGGCCGGGAAACCCAGACCCTGCAAGGCACTTTTGGGTGCAACTGCTGGGTAGCCCGCAGTAAAGCAGGCCTATACCCACAGGTAAAAGATTTGTTCACCGTTTGCTTTCGTAGCGCCAGCCACCCGCTCGCACTAGTATGCAATTGGTGCGATTGCCGGTCCGACGCTCGCCAGGCTTCATCGCATGCGAGTTCGGCCAAAACCAAGGCACGAAAGGAAGCAACATGGTCCTCCTCAACAGGCAGGGCCCAAGCATTGCGAGATTCGAGTAGCTTTTCGCCCGCTTCCACCAAGTCACCTGCACTGCCCACGTCGATGAGATACGGTATGTGGTGCTCACGACACTGTGACACTGTGACATGGTGTTGTACATACAGAATACACATGCGTCTCATGCACTTCTTGTATTGTGTTCTGTACATTGATGGCCAGCCAAATCAGTGCAACAAAAGGTACAAGTATTGGAAGGATCATGTTCCCCTGACACACAGGGCGGTCTGACAGCGGTCTTTCTATGTCTTTCTCGCACCAAGTGGGCCGCCCTGTCAGCAACACATGCTGCCAAGGCGCACAAAGCCTGAGGCACAGCCGGACAAGCATCTGCTATTCTGTTTTAAACCAAACCACAAAGCAAACAAAACAACACAAAACTTAAAAGCAAGCAAACAATCAAAAAGCCAAACAAATGCTGCAGTCAAAAGCTACAAGTACCAATGTAGTCAAGTAATGTCAAACTTGACAGTCAAATTCGAACTTATTCTGGCTCATGTTGAACCGTGCCTGAGAGGATTTTCCACCCTCCAGGCTTGTAGCTCCAATGTAAGGGTCACAGAACAGGCCTTCCAAGCAAGGTCTGGCAGAACTGATCTTCATATTGGCAAAATATGATGTTTTATTCGATCCACTTCAAGCTGTCTGATTCGACAGTTCTGGTTCTGGCGCTGTGCTGCTGATCAAATGCCCCTCCTTGAACCGTCTTGTTGCGCCATGTCGGCTCGATGTCGACCTCTTCCAAAACCACGCCTTCTTTGCCCGTCCTGGGCGAACAAGCTAGAAACGACGCCCAAACAGACATGTCAAAAAATATCAAAAACAATCAGTAAATTGGTTGGGTATATCAACGTGATTGAGCAGTTGGAGGGTTGGAAGGGGAACATCCTGGTTGAAAAAAACGAAAATATCAACACGAAGGGCTCGAACCACTCGAATGAAATCACCGTTACACCGCTCCGCCTCGTCAGCGACGCTGCTCTAGCATCAGGTGTTGGGTCCGGTGGTTTCAAGGGCGACGGACTGACGGATCTCCTAGGCAACGGTCACCGGAAAAAACATGAGAAACCCTCTAAGGGCCATGGGAAACATCACACACCCTTGCAGGCTGTCTGTACACAAGAACTGGACTAGTCTAGCCAATCCACAGCCGAGTTTTTCACAAACACACGCTGTCTCCTCTCCCGATCGCGTGCTGTCAAGGGGGCCTTAGGCCTTGCTTTGCTCTTTGGCATCGGCCAAAATCCAGAAGGGCACTGGAAAAGGTTCAAACAGCAAGCGGAATGAACGCAAAATGCCAAGGTTCCAAATCACAAGCCAAAAACACTACAAAATGCAAACTGAGATGTCACGTGAAGCCCCCTCGCCGCATGGCAGTCCGGTCTCAAAAACAATCTACTCTAACGCACTAAGCACTTGCAACCATCATTGGTTCAGATTGAGTGGTAGGTTGGAGGCGGTGGGTAACATGGTACTGTAGCTGCACACCACGGGCAGCTTCCCAACCAGGTGGAAGAGTGAGAGCGAGTGCAAAGGAGGCCCCGGACAAGGGAAAGAATTGAGCGACGTGCCCCAAGCATAGCACGCATTGCACAGGAGAGGGGGAAATTTCGGAGTCAGGTGATGAAAGCTGACAAATTTAATTTGGCCAAGGTTTTCAGTTGGTCAACCTTGGGTAAAGAGCAAATTGCCACTGATTTTTTGCATGGAAGCAAAAGGTGTGTGCATATATATATATCGATATATTTTACAACATAATTGACACATACACATAAAGCTCTAAGATAAACATGTACATCTTGCACATACATACATACATACAAACCAACCCAAAACAAACCAAACCATAGCATTACATTACATTACATCACACACACATCGTCTACAATTATGCGCCTTGTATGTCAGTATGTGACATATGTGCGGTTGTGCGTGTGTCTGCATTCCGCGCACTTTCTCGCACAAATTGCACGGATAAATATTGAAGAGGAGAAGTTGGTCATTGACCTATCTTTGCAACACGGCGGCGCAAAAACTGCGGATATCAAAACCAAAGGAGCGCGCGCAAACATGCATAGAATAGAAGATCTTCACGCGTTGACCAGACCAATCTTTGCGAAACCGCTCGGGAGGGGTTGGTCATTGAGCTTGCGCAAACTGATGCAGGATTGCACATTACATGAACTGCGCTGCAGGCAAACAAACGCATCTCTCTCTTTTTTTCCCTTTGATCTCGCTTCCTGGCAAAGAGATGGAAAAAGAAGAAAGAGAAAAAATAGACGGGAGCAACGGAAAGGAAAAAAAACAGAAGAAGTGCTCGGGAAACAGGCGCTTCAAGACTCAAACCCACCTAAACTCTTTTAGTTTCAAGCGCCTGAGAGTGTTCAACCCTGCGAGCGGGCAAGGGGTCAAGTCGCTGCCATTGGTGCGCAGGTCCTCGTCAATTTGTTCATCTGCGCAACGCTGCTCTATAGCTCGGCGAGGCCCGTCCTAGTGAGTGAGTCCTCATAATGTTGGGTCACCTTGTTGCTTGCGCGGCGCCGATTGGCCTAGCGCAACAACATAAAAAGACTGTTGTCCCGCCGAAGAAATGAGCCAGTCCCATCTAGCCTCAAGCTCTAGGTTGTTTAGAGCTTGCGCCGTCCCCGTCCACGAAGTCTATCTAAGCCTGCTCGCTCAGGTATTCTTCCACTACCTTGATCTCGTGCGTGGGGAAGAATGGGATTTTTGCGAAGCCTCCATCCCCTAAACCTTGCAAGCAATATGGTCCGCTGGTGAGCAGCGGCCTGCCTGAATGTTGCGGGCGTTGCAAACTAGCCCCACATCCTGTCGACGGAAGTTGCAAGATATCCCCACATCCTAGGGCAAATGTCCGGGAGATGTGGTCACACCTGACAGTCGTGCAAAACAACGTTGCCCTTGTGATTAGTTGCGCCAAGGGCATGCCCCGCATGGGATGCCAGCCAGGGTCTAGCTCAAGACCTAAATGATTGAAACAAGGTTGCAAATGCTCCAACGCCTCAACCGCTCTACTTGTCTGTTGCTATCACTCAAGGTTGTCGACCTAAACATAGTAGTGTGCAGTGTTGCTCACCTGCTTCCCTATCTTCAGGCTGACAGGGCCCCCTATCATTTGCAAGCTTGGCATCTCGCAAAGGATGGATTGAGCCAGTCAGGACTTCCTTCACTCCCTGAGCAAACTACAATCTCAGATCCAGCCAACGCCACTACGCATCGTTGCGCCCTAACACTTTGCCAGAACAGGCAACGACGCGAGCTGGAACCGCCTCCCACGCGAAAAGCCTGGCCAACCAGGCACTCGCATCCGGTGGAAACAGTCGCGCACGTCCGAAAGACCAATGTTAACAAACAAGGCATCAAGCAGCTGAGGGCTAGGCCAGGTGACATCCTCAAAGCTCATCTCAGTTCAACCAAGGCCTTCTCCAGTCACGAGGTTGTCAAAGGGTGGATCACGGAAGCAACCCTTCGCCTAGAACTCTTCACAAAGGGTGCAGTGTATAGGTGAAATATCCAATGTCATGGTACGCCTTCTTGCTGTACTTCAACTTCCGGCCCCAATAAGGTCGAAACAACCTTGGGTCTACCCTTTCTGCCTCACGTTTGATCAGCTCTGTCATCTCCTCCATATACTGATGGTCGTCGTCACAGCACGGTGGGCCAAGTCACTCTGCTCGGGCTGGCAGGAGGCTAGTGAATGATTGGTGACTGCCATGTCATATGGAGAGCCACCTTTGAGAAACCTTTAGCGATTCCTCCACACTTTCGACGCAGCCACTGGGCTTCTGAATGTTGATCAGGCCATCCACACACTGCGCCGCACGCTCCATCATGGAGCTCAAGTGAAAATCATCGTTAGCCATCCAGCTTAAGTTTAATGCAAAAATGGCCTCATTCTTGTTGAATTCGGTTGCGGCCGTTGCACGCCTCGACACCTGCCAGTTTTTCTGTCAGGACACGCAAAAAATGGAATCGGGAAAAGCCTTCTCTCTTGATGGTGCATGGCTGCACGGGGTCCAGGCTGTTCCTCTCCCCTTGTGCTTGGCCTGACTCAGATGCAGACTGGCAGCGCATCATGTTCTCCTCAGGCATCCTGCTGCCCCGGCCCCTTGCCACCCTTGCCTTTGTTGGGCGGCTTGGGAAGCTTGACCGGCAGCTTCACCTTCCTCACTTTCAATTCACGCACTTTCTGACTAGGCTGCAGCAGCCCCAACTCATCCTTGTTCCTCTTGGCCGCATAGGTTCGGAAACTAACTATGTCTTCAGGGGTGCCTTGGCCAGAAAACACCTTAGCGTTCTCCCAAGAAGCCTGTTCGGATTGGAGTAGGCATCAACGATAGCTTGCATGCGTCTGCACAGTGTTTCCATGGACATGAGTGCTGGAGTGCAGCTGATCCAAAGTGCCTGCCATATATACAACGCACCACATAGGACCTTCATCTCATGATACAGTAGGTTCTGTCAGTCTGCTCGATGCGTTTGTTCCTACACCAAAATACCAAAGCTGCCCACCAAAGCCGCGGATCTTCTCTGTGGCGTTCTGCATGCTCAATCAGGCGACGAGTAGTAGAGGGCCCTTCTAGCGGTTTCTCCTCAAAAACAGGTGTGTAGCTCTCCTTGACCACATCTCCACCGCTTGAACGAAAAGGCTCCTCCGCTTGCCTGCATACTCGCCAACCTCCGTCACCTTCACCCAATCGCCCATACGTCTGGCCATTGCATGCCTGTCACCAACCTGAACACCCACCTTAGAATTGAGGCTCACCTCCTGACCCAACATCAAGAATCCCAGAGGTTCAGCAGCAACCCAAACACAGTCACCCATGGCTGGTTGGACCATCACTGCATTCTTTGGGGCGGCGGGCGTGTCTTCCCGCCTCCTCGCAAACTTTTCACCAAACAAACCGTCAAGCCCAACTTCCATCCCTGTCTCGAAAACTGTTGCAGGTAGCTGGCTAGGAATCCCTTCCGCGTCAACCAGGGTCAGGGAGTGGCGAAACACCTTCTTGATGACTAAGTTTGGATGGCCTCACGGAAACGGTAAGCTCGGGTCGCGGGCCCTCAGATTTCTAGGTAACGTCAGATTGGCAGCAAGGCCCCTCAGCTTCACCGGGCCTTCACCTTCTCTACAATTGAGTCATTCAACGTAAAGGTCTTTGTCAGGAGTGTAAGTCACCGCACGCTCGTGATCAACTAGCAGTCCTATCATAGCCTCATGCCATACATCATCATCATCATCATCATCATCATCTGAGCACCAGGGCAAGCATCGTCGCCCCGGCCCCTGCTTACGACAATACTCCACCTCCACGTCGCCGACCTCCTCCTCTTCCAGCTGCACCATATCCATCCCTCACTGCCAAGTGCCCCCAATCACTGCACAGGATGCAAGAATGCCAGCTACAAAACAAACAAGTCCCGTTCCCAGAAAGCCAACTCCTGGTGATGTGCAGTTGCAGGCAACATCGACGAGGGGCAATGCAACTCAGTCGGACAACGTGAAGCATTCTCCTGATCGCGAAGCACTGTGGCAAGAGGCTGAAGGGCGAGTGACTCCAGAACTTCATAATAGAGCCAAAAGCCTTAAGGTTTGAGGGTCAACGACACTCTTCATGCCTCACGTGCTAACTCTGTGTTTCACACTCCAATATTCATTATATACATACTTTGCATCTCTACTGCCCGGAACAAGGGGGGTGGGACCACAGGCCTGGAAAAAGAGCTTCCTGACCAAGGCTTCAACTGGCAATTCAGAAGGAGGCTGAGTGGGGGAGAAGCGCGGAGGAGCAAAAGACAAGCTGGGCTGACTGCCAAGAAGAAAACAACACAAAAGGCTGGCGGAGGAGAAAATAAAAGGAGGAGTGAAAAGCGTGAAACGTGTCAGAGAAAGCCATGGCGTGACAAGGACGGAAATGAGCGAGCAAGGCTTGCCTAGGAAGAAAACTAAGAGCCCGAGGCGGTCAAGGTTCGGCTTCAGTGGGATTGGCACCTTCAATCCTGCACATTGATGCCATTTTCTAATGGAAAAGGAGTTTGGGAACTTTGTGGCCGTTGTCGTTGCTTTGCTGGCCGCTCCAGCTATGAGAAACCAGAATGACACGACGTTCAAAAATAGAAAAGCCGAGAACTTTGCTCAGTCGTGGTGGTGCGAGCAAGTGCAATTTTTCGAGCACTGGCAAATCCAGCAGCCCATGTTGCCACAATGCATTCTGCAGCCGAATGCGATGGCAAACCCTGACCCCGGTCATGAATCCTCATTGGAAGGCCCCGTCTGGTCCTGCACCGACGAGAAAAAGAGAAGGTACCTTTATGAAGGGGGCCTTACCCTACTCTTTGTCTTTTCTCTTTTATGTTATGTAGTGTTCAGCTGTCAAATTGTGCACCGCTGGAATCACTCCACGTCCTGCTTCAGCAACCGGGGTGTCCTCTCACACTGCGGTGTCTGTGCAGTATCAAGTCCAACAAGTCCTCACAAAAGGATCTATGTATTGTTTTGCATCAGCATTCTCCAACTCCTCCATGGCGTCCCAAGGAATCACAAATTTGGTCACGCGAGGTGCGCTCAGCACCTGAGAATCTTCCATTCTTTGAGGCACTCAAAGCTGATCTTTGAAAATCCCCTGTGGCCACCACTCGATGGACACGATTCCAATCAACCATCTCTGGGGGGTTCTCCTGCCAGCACCAGGTGCGCCATTCATGTCGGCATCACTTGCGAGGCGATTCTGTGCCACAAGTTTGCTTGATACTTCAGAATTTCAAAAATGATCCCAGGCATCAGGGTGCATCAGGTATCACAGGAACAACAAACAACACTGGTCTCACACTCTCACAGACTTCGTCACCACACTGCGATTCCTGGAGCTCAGGATCGTCATACTCGTATCGCCTCGGACACAGATCACATGCAATTTAGCCTCAAGCCCCAAGCCACGTACCAAATCACAACTGCGTATACTGCATACACAATTACTACTTACTACTTTTTATTGGATCTTGTTGGAGAGCCAAGGGGCACATAGTAGCCAACCCGGCAGAACTCCTTTCCTGCACGTGATGGTGTGCTTCATCATTTGGAAAGGTTTTTACAATGACAGGGATGGCCCAGAACAAAAAACAGCAACAATCCAAGGGTGTTTGTTGCCCCCAGTGTGGCAGCCTGGGTTTATCGATGCAACTTCGTTGCATTCAATCAAGCACAAAGTTGCCGGCCATATCCGTGTTATTTTGTTTGTCAAGTTTCGACTTCGTGCCAATACTGTCCTCCATACGAGGCAGACAGGTAGAGGCCTGCCTGCAAGTGAGGAGAACGTTGGTAAAGTATGAAACAATCTCACCAGAAAAAAGTGCATGACACTGGCGTATGAAAGCGATTTACTTTAAGTGTCCAACCCGAATGCAGAAGCAGGAAAGCTGTGGCCGTGGGTTATGGGAGCAAAATTGGTACTTGCTTGTGGGCCGAAGGATCTTGAAAGGTTGAAGAGGAAAAGAAATAGTGCTGCTACAATTTCACCGGAGGGATCCTTGGAGTACAGCCACTGCAGGGACGCCGATGCAGGACTGCCCGAATTTTGTCCGGCTGGGGGGAAAGGCACGAGCTTGCTGCCGAAGAGCAAGTTCCAGTGGGCGACCACTGGCCTCAGCATGTCGACAAAGAGCTCAACTAGCACATGAAAACCATCTGCCAGTATCCCGAAGAGTGCCTCTCGATCTTCTTTCGAAGGAGGGGCAGACTCAAAGTTGAACTTCAGGAAGCCCTGAGCATGTCAAGACCAGCACCAGACAGAGCTACGCGGCTTCGCACCTGTCGCAACCCCGGTCCATCGCCCACATCGATGGACTCTAACTCCACTTCATCACCTGCACAAAGCCCGGCATTGGTACGCACTAACCCAACAGGGAAGCACAAGGTGCATTCCCAAGAATTCTAGTACAGTGTATCAAGCTTTTAGCATGCAGTCATGCAAAAGTCAACTGCAGGCCTGAACCATGAGTTATGTACACGCATTGGAAAACCAAATCCTCTTTGAGAGGCTCTGCTACATCCAATGTCACCTGCGGACGGCAATACAAAGTTCACAAAAAACGAAAAAATAAAAGGAGGACAGGTCTGCACAACAAACAAAGAACGCTTGTATGGTGTCCATGGTGCTTGCACACAGGTTATGACTATGACACAGGTGTTGGTACACATACACCTGGGAGAGGCAGGATATTAAAAACACTACTGGGACTGCATATGTGTCCGAATGAGATCGCTTCAGTCAAGGTAGTTAGCCCGCCCCGTGATTATCTCCAACTCAGTCACAGTTTGTCTGGTGCAGCAGGGGAAGTTGGACCAGGAGACTACGGTTTACTACGTTGCTGTTAGGAGGTGTTTGTTTTTTAGCTTCTTATTACTACTAGCGTCCTTGTTACTACTAGTAAGGCACTTGTTACTAGTAGCGATGCACTTGTTTCTACTAGCTTCTTGTTCCTAGTAGTATTGTATGGGAGGACTTGTTCGATTCTTGGTGTTAATGCGGTTTCACGCTCTGCTACTTGACAGTGATCTCGCCAAAGTTGCGCGACAGTCAATCTGCCAAATGAAAAGCTATATAAGTATACCGGGCCATTAAACTTCACGTCTAGCGCCAGTAAACACATGAAAACACATAGGGATGCCGGGATGCTGAAAGCCTCAAACACGAAGTCCTCATCTACCTGATTGCGACTGAAATGATTTGACCATCCGAACTGGACAAACAAAGAGAAAAACATAGAAAAACAAAGTAGCAAGAAGCTACTAGTAACAAGTGCATCGCTACTAGCAGCTTCTTGCTACTAGTAGCGATGCACTTGTTGCTAGTAGCACAACGCCCTGGTAGCTTGGTCAGTACTCCTACGAGTTGTGGACACCTACCACTACAGCTTCACGGCTTCCCAAGGTCATGGCTCTGCAACGATCCTTGCCATCCACTACCTGCGCAATTTTTGCAACTAACTAGCAAAGACATGGTGGAAGCAAAGGTGGGAGTTGTTTGAAGCAAACCAAAGCAGCAAACAATTATGAGCTGAGAAAGTCCAACACTTATCTACAAAGCCCCACCTTCACATTGGCGATGGAGCAAGCCGCCATGTCTGTTCTCCCATAACTCGGCTGAGATCAGTATGCCCAATGAGATGATGATCTGCGCTTTATCCACGGCTTTCGGGGTCGTGCCAGAATAGGTGATTGCTATGTTCCGTCGTTGAAGTGAATCTGTTTCGTACACAGATGTAAACATCCAAAAAAACAAACTCAGATCTTCCAAAAGAAGGACAGAAAACAATGCGTTTGGGAAGTGGCAGCCAAGCAAGACTGATGGCTAGCAGCCAGGCACTTGATCAGAATGTCAACGTTTCAATACAAGCCATCCAACCTCTCAAGCGCAAATGGCTTCATACTAATTAACAATATATATATATATAATTCATACAATCCAGTAGGCTGAGTGCCTACGGACCCTCCTTTTAATCTCCGGTTCTCCAATACCATTCTCGCAGCCCTACCCATTCAGACTCTGCTGAACATGCCGCAGCCTGTCCAAAAGCATATTCTTCCCTGACAGCAGCATATAAAGCTGGTCCAAATTGAAACCTTGCAACTTCTTGTTGTTGTAGAAGTCCCAGCGCTCCTGAAATACTGGTGCGACAATTTCATCCCGGATCCAAGAACCAGCTTCTCTTCCCTCAGGCAATCGAAGATAGGGGAAGTCCCGCAAGGCTGCAACAATCTCGGAAACATATGCATCCACTGCCTCTTGCCCTTCTGAGTCGGGTCTGAACAGCCCTGTAGCTTTGGCATCCGGGCCCAACTTCTGACCCTGCACCGCCTGCACTGCCTGCACCCTTGCTTTCAGGCATTTATCGTTGACTTCCTCATCCAAGTACTCAATAAGTGTGTTGATGTCTACCCCTGAAGCTTTTGGATTTGGAGCGGTGGTGGTATCAGTAGCAGAAGCAGTAGCAGGTGCTGGCTGAGTCACTGGAGAGACGACTGGATCACAACCATCCACTAAACCATTGGGGGACGATCGATTAGCTTCTGGGCGAGCTGTCGGGACAGCTGGAGCTGGAGGAGCTGTTGGAGTCGCTGGTGGGCCAGGGGCACTGGTGCCTCTGTGCCCAAGATTGGCATCAGCTCCAAACAGTGATTGAGGGCTTTGACAGGCACCAAACTCCACCTCCAGTCTGCCCTGAGGAGGCGGTTGCTCAGATAGATACCAGCACAAGTGCCGGAAGATTGCCTGACTTTCGGCAGTGGCATCCATTTTTGCAGCAGTGAGTGGCACAGCTTTGTGTGATGAAGTCTTACCAGTCTTACCCATGAACTTGATTTCTTTATGTCTCTATGATTACTTCTGCGGCCACCAAGGTTAAGCCCAGGAGCGATCTTATTCGCTGGTTCCTTCAAATGGTGGGCTCAGAACACTCTCTTGAGGCATCTAAGCCAAGCTTGAGGGAGCGGGCGGCAAAACCATTCCAGACCTCCGGTGCCATTTGTGGAGCTGTGTGACAGACAACTTGTTATTGCTGCGCTGTCCAACCCTTTGTCAAATTTTGGCTGCACAACCAAGCTGAGTTTGTGAGTCAGTCTGCTTATCAGGCAATGCAAATGCTCCCAGTAAGCTCACACACACACACAAACACCGTGACGCAGACAAAGAAGAAATTTCATGGGGAGAAATGGAACTGCCTGTGAAGTTCCCTACTCAAAGTCTTGGGCTGGATTTGGCCATCTACACTACAGGCAAAGCACTCACTACATTTGAGCAGGTCACGTTAGGTCCACCAAAATTTGTCAAAATGTCAAATGAAATGACCAAACCCAAAGCACAAAAGTATCGAGATTGATTCAGCGAAGCTTCGCATGGGAATTAGGAAGCTTCAAAAGGAGCGAATTGTGCGCTTCATTGAGCCCAACTTGCACTTCCAGACTCGACAATGCCGTAGTCAACTGACAACTTAATAGCAATTGCAGGAGTGGCCTTCTGCAGGCGTCTGAGTCTGGAAGGGAGTGATACTATATAATTGTAGCCAATCTGGCCAGGAGAGGCGCAGTGTCAAAGGCAGTCCTCTCAAACAATCGCATTTCTCATGAACTGATTGAAGCGCTCAGAGTACATAGCCGGAGGGCAGCAAGAAACGCCTCTGCTGTCATAGCGCAGGGCCTGCCAACGCAAGCATTTATTCGCTTTGGAAAGCATTTTCTGCATGTACTCTAGTTCATGATTTACAGGAGGACGGACGACTATTATCTGTTATCTGCAGCAGTGCCTTGAACCAATGTTCCAAATGTTTCCGGCCATCATAGGGCGTGAGGATGTCAATGATGCCCACAAAGTAAAGCACCTGATTCAGCTTGCCACTTTATCATATACGACTTGAGCACAAGTGACGGCATTCGTCATACCCACCGCCCTGGACCCCTTCGCCATCCACTCCGCCAAACCAAAGCGCAGCTCCCCTTGTTGCCTTCTGGTCAGAAGACAGCATGCCTCCCATGTGGCCCTGGTGAAAGGGTACCTCGCGCAGGGTCGAGTTCAAACTGGATGACCACTTCCAAGCAAACTGGTCACTTTCCATCATGCCGTCCTAAAGACTGGACAGCTTTAAAATGCTACAGTATGACCCACTCCCAGAATAGGTTTAAGAGAAAATCTGCAAGAAACCAATCCTTTTGGAGGAGGCACATTGGCTTCCTATAGATTTTCCCTTCCTTCTCCACTTTGAAGCTCCACGGCCACACTATAGTCAATGGCCACTGATGTCTGTTTAAGCTTGGGGATTTGAAAGAGCATTTGAAACACAACAGCAATGTTCAGTGGATCAATGTTGGCAGGATGGAAGTTCACATCGAATGCTCCGGGAAGGACCTCGTGGGCTCCGTCTTCTGACAGAGACTGTCTCACCTGAAGACAGGCACTGTCCTTTTTGCACATTGGGCAAAAAGGATGAGATAGGGAACATCTCTACACCAGTCAACATATGCTGCTTGTTTGGTCCCCGACAACTATATCCGCAGTCCCGGCAGCTGCGCCCTTCAACCTCAGGTGGTCATTTCACAGCCATCTGTACCCATTGCAGGACACATTGAACCCCACAACAGTTGCTAAGCCTGTGATTCTTTGACCCTTTCCTGGAGTCTATATCCTTCTTCTTTGTTGAGTTCAATCAGTGGACCACTAGCCGTGTAGCACATGCCACATGCCAGCAGCATATGCAGCAAGGCTGCAGCAAGAATAGCAGAAGCAGCACTAGAAGCAGTACGCAAAAGAAAGCCATTATCGGAAAGACCTCTTTGTGTCGAGATTGGTTGGATATTCATGCAGGGTGTGTCTTAAGGTGTTCCAGCGGGGGACAAATTCCACCTCTCCAAGTTTTGTCACAAAGCATTATATATATATATACTACTAGTAGCTTCTAGCTACTAGTAGTAATGGCCTGGTCACTAGTAGCAATGCCCGTGCTACTAGCAGCGTCTATGCCCTTGTTAAGCTAGCGGCCCCAGGCAGGTTTCAGGGTCTTGGCCTGGAACCAACGTCTTGGGCACACCTGCAACAACACCACGCTGCGCAAATTCACTGCGAACTGGACTTGTCGGGTGGCCTCGAATATCGCTTGACTTGTCCGTGACCTTTGCAGCAAAAACAGTTTGATTCTGGCTAAGATGCTGATGGTGCAACTTTCCTTCCAAAGCCTGTGTGACCATATGTGGCCATGAGGCTCTGACAGGTTCGTGCACCTTCATGTCATGTCCTCTCAGCAACACATTCATGAGCAATGATTAATATTGCGCAGCACCTACTTGCTCCTGTTCCCGAATAGAACTATATTGGGAGAATCTTGGTGGTGGAAGGCAGCTACCCAAACAAAAAGAATCACTGCCTCACCAACTGCACTAGTAGCCCCAGGCAACACAAGATTGAGGAGTTTCGTGACAAGTGTTGCGGATTCAAGCAGGCGCGGCTTCTTTGCAGCTGCCCAAGAATGTGCACATCTGAAGTAACTTGGTCCTATGCCTCCATCTTCACAGCTTCCTAGCCTTAATGAGTGGACAGCGGTGCAGCTTCCGGTCTCTGGACGTCTCTACTTGAGGAGCGGGCTTGTAAATCCCAAGTAATAGGGAGTAGTCGATGACATTGTTGTCCCTTAGGAATGTACCTGAAAGAAAAGCTTCCACGTGAACTGCTTTGCGTTTGTCAATTCTTGATCTGTCTGTGCTAGTCAATAGTCAAATGCACTTGAGCCTCTGGCTGTCCTTCTCTATCTGTGCAACGAGCTTTGCTTTGCGCTCGTCGCCAACTGCAATTTTTTCGTTTGCGGAAGTGAAGTCCACATCCTGCAGTACTGTGGCCGTCCCACAGAAGCAAAAGCAGTGCCCTGCCTAAGGCCTAAGGGGCATGACAAGGATGTATGTAAAGCCTTCAGCCCAATGTCATGTCATAAAATGTGCCCGGCACATTTCCCAAGAGTCCCAGGACGGCAAAAGCCTACGTCAGGAGTGATTTGTGCTGCCTTTCTTTGTCGCAATGTGCATTGCACCGGTAATGTGGGTTTGGTGTGATCTGTGTCGAACTGTGATCTGTGTTGAACTGCCGCCAAATGTTCCTTCATGAATCAGTCCGATTGCTGGCAATGAAATGGCAGATTTGCGCTGATGTCCCGTAATTCTGGCGATTTGTAGTCTGTTTTTGTGAAATGGATGGCCGAGGGATGTTTGCCAAAGACATGCAGAAGTACAGCTGTGGTTGTGACTTGGGCGGCAACCCTTCTCAGCGGTGCAACAGTCATTGCTTCCCAATTTGGATTGAAAACCTTGTCGTCAGAGTTGCGTACCCATTGCACACGGTCTCGCACAATGAATTGCACTCCACAATCTTGTGATCAGTGCACACCTACCAACTCTTGCTGTGACCCCGGCGTGTGTTTATAGAGGGTGTCTTGAGCCCCCTACTTTCTCCGCATCTTGGAAGTTGCCCTTGTAGGGGAGGGAGAGGGAGAGGGAGAGGGAGAGAGAGACGGGGGGAGAGGAGATATTGAGATATGAGAGATGAGATGAGATGAGATATTATATGTATAGAGAGACAGAGTTGGAGTTCTATTGCCACGCAAACCCAGCTGTCGCAGAATTGTGCATGCAGGCGGATGAAAGTGCATGTCCTTCCACTGTGGATGATTTGGCATCTGGATATTAGTTTTGCAGAGCAGTCCTTTAAGGCGACGCTTGGATCAACCTCCTCTTTGGTCACACGTCCAACCCAGGAACCTGACGCAATTCAACCTGTACCAAACACTGATCAAAACCGTTGAAACCTGCAAATTGCTTCAGCTCTGCTCAAGCCACCTTTCAGGTCATAACGGCGATGGATTTCGAAGGGTGTGTTGAACATATTGTTCATGACCTTGTCAGGCCCGGTGCTTTTGAGGACATCACTGTCACATTGACGCAACAAACATGTGGCCAAGCTCCCGTGCCACAAAGTACACTTTTTGTACTGCGGAGCCCTGAGCATGAAAGCTTGAATATTCAGCAGGAGCAAGCCCAAAAAGGATAACTTGCTAAGAGCCAAAAGGTGCACCTTTCCATGCTTTCTGTCTTTGCGGACGCTGAGGCAATGCCTGCAAGGAGCCGCGGGCTTGCTGGTTTGGTGGTTTGCTGCTGGGATCATACAGGATGCATTGGATCTTTGGGTGTGAAAGGCCCTCTTTATGTGGGAAAGAAAATAGCTTACAGAAGATAGCAATGCAATGACAAGCTAAATGATTCCCAAATCCGACGCATCCAATTGTCTCCAGTCTAGACTTGCGACGATTCCAATCAGGAACAGCTTCTCAGACTGAACACCCTGCCCTTAAGGAAAGCACAGCCCCAAGAATCTCACGAGCAAAGTGCCAGGATTCTGCATGATGTGATCCTTAGCCAGGTTCACTCTTGGCGCTGCGCCAGGGTGCATCGGTGAAGCCGTGTCAAGTTGCATGATACGGTTTAAGCATCTTCTTCAGCAGCGTCTGCTCCTGACAGGCACTTTGCCCCAAGTCCCGCCTGAAATATCAAGTCCAGCTGGAAATCCAAATCACGATGGGCTCAAAGAGTGGCCATTGCACTTGCAAGTTACAAGCACGTCCACCTTGTGCGTCACAGTCTTCATCATATATTTCCTCATCAGGTTGCACTGCCAGCAATCAAGGCGACATGTGTCTCACAAAGCTGTCATGTTGTGCTTTCCTCCCTTGAGGCTGGAGGACCACCGGTCACCCATGGAATGTTCACAATTGTGCTGTTTCCCATTGAAGAACACCCGTGTACACCAGGTGGAACGGAACACCGGACTACAGGCCACAAACAGGCTCACTACAAGCGTCTGCATGTGCATGCCAAGAGTCCCATCAGCAGTGTAGTAGAAAAAGGCACCACCTTGACAAACGATCAAAGACCAAACATGTCGAACGAAACGACGACAGAGCGGCGGTTCTTCCAGTCTCACTCAATGGGGCTCCAAGCTTTTTCCCTCTGACGACAGTTCTGACAAGGAGGAGAGGTTTCCCAGCACCTGAACCCAAAGTCGAAGAAATCCACCGCGAAAAACCCTTGAAAATTCCAAAGGTGAGGGGGCCCAGTTGAAACTGAGTCCTCTGACCATATTCCCCAAGAGCTGCTCTGGGCCAACGGATCTCAAGTAGTCGTCACTGTGAATCCCAAAGCTGGCGCGTATTCGCCTGCAAGTCCCGATGAAGCACCAACAAAGCCACCTATTCCAAATAAGGGCCAAGCTGGAAAACCATCGGTGCATAGTCGATGAAGCGCGTCACTTGCACGCGCCTGCAGTCAAAGGAGGGGAAAGGAGTTGTACCAAGCAAACCGTTCAGTGTATATATATATATATGTTTTTGTTGTCCTATCATGTCCTATCATGTTCTATCCATATTCCCTGATCATCCTTGGCATTTCTCCTAGCGTTTTCCTGGGTTGATGGCTTGGAGACTGTGGCGTCGAAGATGTTGGCCAAACGAGGCAGAATACTAAACTTCTCCTGGAGGTGAACTAAACGTCCAGGCATCCACGAAGACAAATGGAATGTTAACAGCAGCCTTTCCAATGCATTCAGTGCAGTCGTTTTCCGCAAATTTCGATACCCAACGGGCATGTGAAATCTCAATCATGGGTACTAGGTACCAAGGAGTCCAGGAGCCTTGTTGCCACACCCTTTCAAAGAAATGCAAGACTCGCGACGTGCTACAGCTGCTGCAAAGATCCCGTCTAACAAAGTGCTACAAAATGTCGAGAGTTGAATTCAACAAATGTAGGAAGAAAGGCCGCACAGTCGCAAGGTGGCAACCTACACAGATGGCGCACAGTAATCTACAGGTATACTTGGCCAGCCTGACTACAAATCATTGAGGCCACATGGTTGGTGTCTTAGTGTCGGCTTGCCAAGCATCTACTTTTGGAAAATGACTTGCCAACTTTGCTGCTCTCCATGGCCTTAGCCCGAGCTTGATACGCCCAAGAGACAACATGTCTTTTCTCATTTCTTCAATCCTGACACCGAGGCTCAATCCTCACAAAGTGTTCCATTGTCCCCAAGCAGCCTCTGGTTCGTATGGACCTGCCATACGCCATGGGCATGTACGATTCCCAGAGCGAAAACACCGGCCTGGTGCCAAACCAGGGTGAACAGGATGTGCGGGATTGGGTGGAACCTTGCTGTCATCGATCAGAACTACGAAAGGTCACTCCTCTATGAAACACGGTGGCCAAAAGTGCCCAAAGGCTGAGGCATGACCGGGATACATTCCCAAAGCCTCAGTATCAGAAAGGCTCTGAAGCTCATCCAAAAGCTCCAAAAGCCAACAATTCTCTCTCTTTCAGCAGCGTCTGGCTACAACGCAGCCGTCCCATTGTTCTACACTGCATGTGACATCTAACTTCAAGGCACTAGGCCCCAGGCTGGTGGATTCCTAAATGTCAGTTTGTCGGATGTCATTGGGCGCAAAAAAGGTGGGCATTGAAACGGGTGCTAGACCTGCTTTTGCATCAGCTTGAGAGGTCAAGAAATGAAAGCTAAAGCTAAGCTTCATGGGCAGAGGTTGATGCATAGGTGGGCTTATACCTGGCATCATCTGGCCATACCTGGGCGTGTCAAAGTGAGCCTTCGGCTGCCCAAGTATCCTTCGTCCATCTCACTCTGTTGCCGATTAAAGAGCATGCATTTGTTTCAACACCACATGAGCCCCACCAAGTCGCTGGAATGGGGCAAAGCGCTGACTGAGATCCAAACTGGTAGGGCATCTGGTTCACCGGCACACTATTGATAGCCTGTGTGCAGACTTTGGAATCGAATTTTGAGTTGGATCCTTTCTGCAAAGAGTTGCTGCTGACAAGTAGCCGGCACCGGTGCCGTGCCCACTCCGCCCATCCTTGGCACGGGCAATTTGTCGAACCCGCGGCAAACGAAAATGAGACAAGGAACAAATATGGCGCTGGACCAGGTCTCACCTCCAGGGCAGGTGGCATTAGGTGGCATGACCAATTGTCACCGTCCTGAGGCTTTCTAGACTGGGAAATGGCCGGCCTCTGGCCACACAGGCGATGCCATACCTGACCAGAAGGCCCAACAAGGTCAGAAAACTCTCACGCCAGCAATCTTGCCTGGCATCATGGCCCCGCCAACGGGCCTCAGGCCACGAGCTAGGCATAGCTAGACACCCCATAGGATGCGTACTCAACCTGTTTCCTACATGGGCGATTCACTTCAACCGAGTCTCTTCGTCGGCATTGGACCACCAGTTGGTGGTGGTGGAGGTGGAGATCCTGTTATTGGTGCTGGCTTTAGTCCTCAGTTCGTCTCAAGATTTATCAATCATCTGCTTGAGTCTCAACGCACGAGCCTATTGCACTGAGTTGTACCATGCTCAGGAGCCAAGTCTCTAGATGTGTCGACGTGAGCCTGCGGGAAATGGAGCCAAAGCAACTCATTCCTTTCTGCTTGCGGTCGCACTTGCACAAACTGAAATTGCAGTGGATGCCCTACCAAAGCGACGAGTTATTTGGCCACTGCTCAGCGCAATCCCACAAATGACATCAAATTGCCGGCAATTCAGGCAGCCTTGGATCTGTGGGTCTCACAATGAGCAATCATCTATGATAAATGTCCCTCACCTGCATGCTTGTAAGCGCATTCAAACCCGAAAATATGAAACTGGCGCAAGGGGAATCTGAGCAAAGCCGAGCAAAGGCCATCGACACAAGGCAAGCATAGCAAAGCAAGGAGAGCACGCAAAGCAAGGCAAGCGAAGCGCTGCAACTAAAGCAAGGCAAGGACTAAAGCAAGGCAAGCAGGGTAGTCTCAAAAAAAAATGTGTATATATATATACATATACCCCCCGCCAAAGCAAAGCAAGTTCATGCGATTGTCGTAGGTTGACACAGGAAACAAGCAAACAATGCGACTGCCAGGTGGCATCACCCAAGCACCATCTCGGCTTGCTGAAAGGACCATGGCATCCAAAACGCTTTGTGTTGCCAGGGTGTGGAAAGGCCACGTTGAATCAGCATGGCCAGACATGACTATCTCTGAGAAGTTCTCAACAACCGCAGCATGCTGGACAGGGGTTTGCAGCTCCTCCTCGCTGATCTGCACTGGAAACGTTTCGGCTTTGGCACCAAACGTCGTCTTTACCAGCCTGTACCTAGCCAACTCCAAGGATGATGTCACCACAAAATCGTCCAATGAAAGTGCAGCTTTCTCGCCAAAAACCTCCGCATTGTCCCGGAATGCAGCTACAAAAGAACACATGAAGCTGGCAGTTCTTCCATCATCAAAACGCATTTGAGCCAATACGTGTGTGGGCACGCCTTCATCTGTTTTTTCTCCATAGATGCAAGACACACTGCTTGGCAGCAGAAAACCAAAAGCCCAAAGGGTAAAGCGGACATTGTACCAGCCCAAATCACCCAGGCACCCCAGGGGCTCCAGGGACTTCTTCATTCTGATGTTGTTGGCTGCCCAAGCTTCGTTCAAACCAAGGTCAATGCTGAAGTTTGACTGGACATGCTTCACACGGCCAAAGGTCTCGACATCATCGAGGATCTTATTCATGGCCAACTGCCGCTTATTGTGTACGAACATGGTGTTGTCCATGAATTGGAGACCTGCAGCCTTGCAGGCCTCAATGATTTTCCTGGTCTCGGCAGCATTGATCAATGGCTTCTCTATGAGAATGTGCTTTTTAGCAGCGACTGCTGCTAAAGCCAACTCAGTTTTGTGCCCTGTTGGCACTGGGATGTAGACTGCCTGGATGCTTGCATCTCCCAGTAGCTCCTCGCTGAATCTCAAAATGTTCGTTTGCCTCACATCTCCCTTTCCATGTCTCAACCTTGACATTTGATGCGCCTGCTGGCCTGGTATCATCATGTGGACTAATGCATTTGCTAACCAGCTGCCAAGGTAAACTACAGTATATAGTTTTATGGGATTGCTCTTCCCAATACTTGAGTCACTTGAGGTGAAGGCAATAAAGTTCGGTTCAAATTCGCCCCACCGTGCTCATCCACCCATCATACAGACCATGCTCCTCATAGGATCCATAGGCCTTTGCTCCTGGGCAGTTGTCCAAAATGAACTGCTCCGCTTTACTGATGGATCTGGATGCCACAGCGGCCACGGACGCGTTCTCTGCGCCGCTGACAGAAGCACAGAACTTTTCTGCGATGCCAGCACATCCCAAGATACCCCAGCGAACGGACATGATCCTACAGTCCTACACTACACGGGTCGACAAGTCCTTGAAAAAAGGAGCAGTGTCGGGATTGAGATCCCCCACAAACACAAACAAACAAAACAAACAAACAGACAAACAAACAAACAATGTCACTAGTGAGCGTCTCCTGAGCCAAAGCTGGCATTGCATGAGGCTACGGAAACAGGTGCTGCGAGAAGAATCTGAAGATTGAAATGAAGTTTCTCAACTTCTTGAGCATTGCTTGAGGATAACAATACATACAGTACATAAATGACATAGAATTTCCGGCCTGGGAACCTTGGCCGCCAGACAGGCCAGTGTAACCCGACCAGTCCGAGACCACCTGCATGGTGATGTCCGATGTTGATCAAATGTGAGATGTGACCACAGTACAATCAATGAATACAAATCTGTCCAATTTAGGAGTCATCGCGAGTCTCATCGGCCAAAACTGCCTCCGGGGTCTCAGAAGAACCTGCAGTGTCTAAAAAATCAAAGTTCTCTCCTGCAGAACGCAAACCAGCACACACGCACGCACACACCCACCGCGGCCCAACACACGCCTGGTTTCACCTCGAGGCCGCTGGAACCTTTGACAGAGAGAGTCTCGCTGGGTCTTGCTGACTGCAGCTGGCTGAGCCCTAAGTTGACCCCCTTTGCCCGGCCTTTGGACTTTCCCTTTGAACTCTCTTTGGAGTCTTTGCCTGTCCAAGTTCATCTCAAGGCAATGCACTGAGCCGTACATAAGGTCAGCTCACCAAAGGTACAAATCACAAGAATTCATCACACTGAGAGCGCCTTTCCGGTCCTTGCCACCTGACCTTGGCTGAAAAGTTGTGAGCGAATTTGAAAGAAGGAATGCAAAGGTCTGGCTTTGGGTTTTGTAAGTGCAGGATCGTTTGAGTTGCACTGGACATTCTGAAAGCTTTGCCATGCATCCGCGTTGCTCCCCTTTGCCACCTTTTGAAGCACCTTTCCCTTTCCCACCTCCTGGTCGGAAAAGGCAAGCTGTGCAAACACGCCGTCCAAATGAAAGCATCCATCAATGTGAAAGCCAACCCTTTTGTAATCAGAAGGAAACGGCGGTCCTTTGCCAGAATCCCAGCCTTTCTTGCCACCTCCATCCCACCCACCCTTGCCACCCCAGCCCTTGCCAGAATCCCAGCCCTTTCCCATATCCCATCCCTTTCCCATTTCCCAAGCTCCCATGTCCCATCCCTTTCCCATGTCCCAACCTTTCCCCATATCCCACCCTTTCATGTCCCAACCTTTGGAGTCCCACCCCCAACCCTTGCCACCCTTGCTGCCTTTGCCTTTCCTGGGCAACACATCACGATTTCCGCGAAATCGGCTCATCTGAGTCCTGCGATCTGCAGCTGGGAGGCTCTGTCAAAACGCATTCTTCGGCCCCGAGACCGGCATCATCTTCAAAAACGTAGAACTCCACAGAGCCGCCAACAGGAAGAAACCTTGAGATGACAAAAGGCAAACCTTTGGCTCCCATGGTCAAACTCAACAGAATTGCATGCAATTTGGTCCAGTCACCCCATACCACCCTTGACATCTTTGCCATGGATGTAGATTTTGCCTTTGAGGTTGGAACCGGCATCGCGACAACGCAGGACGCCGGGTGCACCGTCCCACTGGTGAAAAGTTGAAGCGCACCCTTCTACCAAGCACCAGCCTCCATGCTTTCCTGCCTTTGGATGGCTGACGTGATGGAATGGTCGAATCCAACCTCAAATGGCATCAAAAACACTGCATCGTGAGGTCTGAATATGCAAACTCAAGCCCATAATGAAGGCTGAGAATGCTTACATACATTGACACATCGTGGCTGCTGTGTATGCAGTTCTGGACAGCGCATTACCGCACGCTACTGCGGGCTCCTGGCATCGCTACTAGGAGCAAGGACGCTACTAGGGGCTCCTGGCATTACTTACTAGGAGCAAGGAAGTCGCTACTAAGAAAAGTCTAGGAACCAGTGAATCCTACCAGCGCTTCTTCAAGGAAGCTCTTCCCAGCCCTCAGGAGGGGAGCTTCCTTGAAGAAGCATGAGCTATCCTGCCTCCGGTAGGTAGTAGCTTACTTAATCTACTAACCTTTTCAATTAAGTAAGCACCTACTTATATAAATAGTTGAGTAGGGGCTGGCTGAAACGTAAGAATAAAGATCATTAAAAATCAACAAAGCACCTAAGCCTCTGGCCATAGGAATTTGTCCAAGACTCCACGACTCCACTAACTTTGGAGTCTGCTACTCCTTAGTCTTTGTTCAACTCGGGTTTGACCCCGACTGGGACGGACAGAAGCAATGCAACCGTGGCGCTTTTCCTCGCAAGGTTCGGGCCAGTTGGCCCAGCAGGCTGAGCAAAGAATAGCAGTGGCACGGAACTGACTTGCAAGGGTTGTAGCAACATCGTTTCTGTCTTTCTTCGCTATTAGGTTGAAGGCCTTCGCTATTAGGTTGGAGGCCATCGCTATTAGGTTGGAGGCCATCGCTATTAGAATTGGAAGGCTTCTTAAAACAACCTTTTGCATTTCTTTGGACCTTTCCTCATGTTCTTTCTTCTTTGTTTTCCGTTCATCTTGTTTCACAAAAGCAGCGCGATGTTCATCTTGTGTCCCTGGCCTTCTTGCTGTCTGTTTTCTTTTTCTTTCCTCCCGTACCGAGCTTCATCGAGCTTCCAGGGTTCCAGTTCTCGTTCACATCTTCATCTCTTCCCTCTTCCCCGAATTCTTCTCCAAAATCTACTTATATCAACAAGATCGCTTTATCTACGCTTATGGACTTGGGTACCAGAAAAAAATGAAAAACGTCACAACTCATGTCAAGGGGCGCTTTCTGAGACACGGTCATAACGTTTTCTGCCTTGAGCCCTGCCTTGCTTTGGCTTCGTTGCCTCTGAGTCCGACAATGGCTCTGCTTCGCCTGCTCTGAAGCTGCCCCAAACGTCCCTGGTGGCGGTGCGAGGCGACCAACTCGTCCCTGCTTTGAAGGATAAAACCCGCTCAGATGTTTTACGTCTCATAAATCTTGGTCCCTTTCCAAAAACTCGGCGGCAGCAGCAGCAGCGGCGGCAGCGGCAGCAGCAGCAGTAGCGGCACATCGAGTGGCAGCAATATTGGAAGCAGCAAGATGAGAAGAACATAAAAAGCTCACAAACAAGGGCACAAAAAACAGTGTTAGTCTGGCTCACAAGTTTCAGGCGCTCTAGATGCTAAACTTTGCACAAATAGCTGAGACCAAATGAGCCAAGTTGCTTCTTTTTAGCGGACTTCATAACTGCTACAGATGTTCCATCTGCAGCAGCGGAAGCCCACGGGTCGAATGGTTCGTCCTCAAACTCAGAGGGGTTAAAGCTGCTCCCAGTTCACTCGCTTAAAACTCGTTCGCGCACACCAACTTGACAATGTCTCTAGTCAATGGGTTGCCAGTCCGGCATGGCTCGCCGCTGTGTGCTGGATCTGACCAGCTTCACCCGAGCTGCCCGGAGACAAACACACCGATGGACGGCCTCGGGGGCAAAGCAAACACGTGACACATGCGCGAACCTAAAACAAGCTTCTTCGGTGTGCAAGCGCGGCAAAAGAACCGCTTCATTTGCTAGAACTACACCTGACAGGTGAGGCCTTAGCCTTGACTTGTTTGGTCCAATGGGTCTCAAAGGGGGGATGTCCACGACTCTTCTTCACAGGAAGAAAGCTTGTTTCAAGGGTGGCTCACCTCAGCCCACTTGTCAAACCTCGCAACTCTGACTTCACAGCATGCAAGTCCGGCTGAAGCTTGCCTCGCCAAGTCTAGTAGCAACAGGGCAGCTCAATGACAGGCCGTGGCTCACCCGACCCTTTCTGTAAGCTGTTTTGCTGATTAATTTTGAGTGGTCTTGGGTGGTGATAGTTACCTGGTTTGCTATGCTTGGCTGGCTTCATTCAAAGGGATTCTTAGCGTGGGTCCCCTTGCATTTCTGTCATGCTTAAATGCATGGGCCCGCCCTTCAGCTGAAGCGGCCGCGCGAACAGGTGCAGAATATGGCTTTGTCTGGAAACACAGGTGGCCGAAGAAAAGAGTCACATGTTGTCATTCCTTGTCCTGTTCCTAGGGGCTCTTTGCAGGTGAGTAAGGGCCAAGTGGAGTCCTTCATGATGAAGTCTACCGGCTGCAACTCTCGCATCATCTCGTGCCTGCATTTCACTCAAGGCATGTTACCACTCTATCCAAGCCAGGTGCTCAGAATGCTGCACCAATGTATCCAACCAAAACATCGGAGGCACCCTGATCTCCCCACAGCCATGCGTATTCCGATCATCATGCTGAGCACCTCCATTCCAAATGATCTTTTGGCTAAATGAAGCTCATTGAGAAGCGGAGCGTATGAGTTGTTTCTGTAAGTTCTGAGGGCCAAACCATATTCCAATTCTCATGTCCAAAGTGCACCTTAGTTATGGCAAATTGTATGTCCACATCACACTTTGCCGAAGAGCTGAGCATGTAAAAATATATTTACAGTACACACGGTAGGTTCTCTGTCCACAAAAGCTTCTCTTGTGCTTGGTGCAATGTGGACTGACCATACGGAATGATTGATCTTTTTGCCCTTTCGCGTGCCTACATTGCATGATCGTCCTGGCAATCTAAGGTGCATGTTCATTTAACCTTCAAGGCAGTGTCAGTATTGCACTTTTCGATAAAGGACTTGCTTGTTCGTGGGGTTGCCAAGGCCGTGCTGTTCAGACGTCCAAGACAGGGCTGATAGGTCTCAAAAGGCATGGCGGTCCAATACTGTACGAGAATGCTGTGTGTGGTCGGCCCAGCCCAATCTTCTTGACTTGGACTTGGATGTGTGAAAAATATGCTGAGGAAGAAAAGCACCAAACAATGGCATTACTGTCCAAGTGACATTGAGCTTAGCCCACAATGGGCAACAAAGTTCAAGGTACTTCGTGAAGAGTTTTAGGTGGGTGAACACGAATGATAACCCGCATCGTATAGGAATTAGGAAAAACCCTGAACATGAGCCAAAGCATAGCTTGACCAAAATACTTTGCAGCAGGTTCGGTCATCCCTGTGTGTCGGAGATGAACCATTTGCTAGCCAAACGCCCTACCAATGCCAAGGTATCAGGAAAAAGCAAGCCCTAGAGGCCCTAGTGACTTAGTGTTCAGGTATGTTCCCGTGTTGTGAGGCTTCTAAAGCTGTCGTGGGGCAGAACATGCAAAATGAAAACCCAAAGCCAAAGCTCCCCACAGCTAGGCCCTTTTTGGGCCCAAGGAGACGGTGTTGCCTCGAGCAAAGTGCATTCCCAGGAGGCTCATAGAGCACTCGAAACAGGGCTCATGTCGAGCACTCGAATGAACGACTTCACGGGAGCGCCTCCTGTGTCTAATCGAGGATGCTGTTGTGGCCTGCTACCATCTGCTACTCATAAAACAACACATTTGCCCTATTTGCCCTCTGGTCATACACACCGTGTGACAGGTCTTGGGATCTAGGATCCGCACGCGGGGGCGACCACCCTGGGCGCACTAGGGGCAACTTACTCAGCGCACCTGACCCCTACAATGCAAGGTGCTCACCAGCCTGGTCAGCGTCCCTGGAGAAGGATGTGCCAACATGCAGGGCATTGGGCCTCCTTGGCTGAATTGTGCTCTGCAAAAGAGGCTGCTTTTGCAGAATCAACATCGTATTGTCTGAGGACAACGCGTGTACCTTTCAGATGCACGCTTTGGTTGTCGTGGCGAGGGCAACTGCAAAGTAGTACTCTGGCCCCTATCAGGTCTGTTTGATCATTCTAAAGGCTTGGCATGTGCCCGAAGGAACTTCTTAAACTTCAACTTGAAAAAGCTTTGTTCTGTGCATATCAGTTTGGTGTAGTCCACTCGCAACATCATCCGAGCCTATTTTCCTCCGACTCTCGGGAGGCCTCCCTCGAGAGTCCATATCGCCTGCTGTAGGACCTAGCAAGAACTAGAAAAAATGCACTCTTTGGGCTTTGGGTTGGTGGGTCCTTGCATGTTTTCTTTGTGTACACACAATGTTGCTGTGAATGCCAACCCTAGAGTACCCCACAAAGTGGAAGGGCTGTTAGGGGCGTGACCGTGACAAGTCCGCAGGTTCGTGTGTGGTTGGTGGGTCCTTTGTTTTCCCGTGGGCCATTAATTTGTGTCAATAGCACCTCTTGTTTCCATGTTGCAACGGGGTTGATGCCGTTTTTCTCTCCAAATGCATCCTTTCCAAGTTTGGGCTTTCACTTTCTGTTCTTCTGTCGTTCCCGTCCTTGTAACCTGCCTACAAGTACCCGTTGAGCCGCATAAAAACTTCTGACAAGAATTCCGTTACAAGTTCCAGTATTCAATAGTCCGTTCATATTGATGGTTGTTTGTTGGAAAGAGATGATGTTCTGTGGGAGGCTGGAGGCTGCTTTGCTCAATCGCTATTTTTTACACTGAACTTGGCTCTTATTCGACGATTCGGCACAAGCGCCTCAGTTCCTCTCGCAGAACTGGAGGGACAGTTGGGTCCATGGCCTGAGTTTGCACCACTTGCCATGTTGCGCAAACAAAACCACACAGAAAGTGGTGCAGGTGGGTCAAGTTGGCCTCGACAGAATGCGCATAAAAACATATACAAATAGTACACATACATGCATACATAACATAACATGACATAGCATGGCGTAAAATATGACATGACACAACACCACCATGCAATACAATAGTATACTTCACTATACTATGCTATTCTATGCCATGCTATGCTTTACTGTAAATACATATTATATCATATTATCATATGCAATCAATGAGAGAGAGAGAGAGCAGGGGGCAACATCCTGAAAACAGCAAGAACATGAAAGAACCGTGGCCCGGGCTTCACTCCCAGACGCAGTTCCGACAGTCCACTTTCGACACAATCGCATCAATGCATCCAACCTGATCTAGAACCCCGTACAGTTCTCACAAGCATCCAATTCCTGCTACCTACATTGCATATGATTGTTTCATATGATTTCTCTGCTGCCGCCATTGGAACTCGTTTCCAACTAGTACAGCTGAGCTTGCGGCTCTTGCGTGAGTTCGTCTCGCACCTGGAAAATGGAGCCCCATCTGGTAACAGTCTTGTCAAGGCAAGATAGACATCTCAAGATAGACATCAAGCCTTCTCCCGTCGACTATTGCAAGCGAGAAGCTTCTCCGTATTCATCGAAAGTCTCATCTATGGCTTCGGCAGCTGCTGGATTCATGGGGCTAGAGTCCAGAATCTCACCCGGGCCCTGCAAGTTGGACCAACTGGTGCACAGAAAAGACAAACACTGAGTGTCGGTGTCACGATTGAATTGAAAAACACTCGCAGATTAACTCTCACATGCCTCCGCGCAAGGCAATGGAGGCGCTCTGGCTGGTGTGCAAACACCACCTCGAGAATCTGGAAAGTCATTTTTGTCTCCTTGACGCAGGTTTGGTGTTTTTTTGAAGCCCGCTCCTCCTATGTATATATATATATATAATATATCTCTTGTTTTTCTCGTTTGCCCACTCCGCCCCCATACTACATAATTAAGTGGACGCCTACTTAATTAAGCAAGGGAGAAGTTCACTCCTGCTACTTGAGCTTCCGCATATGAACGCAGGATGGCCCATGCTCGCACTGATGATTCGGTTCCTAGAATCTTAGGGAAGCCTAACATACTCTACCAGCCTTTCAGCGCTTCAGCTAAGTCTGTCACAGCCAGGCATCAGCCAGTAGAAAAAACCCTCCTCCTTCCTTTCCCTCTCAACCTGATACAAGGCCAATCTTCGTGACTTGGATCTTTTGTAGTGGTTGCTGGACGGGCACTGTGGAGAAGTGTGTTAACCCAAGCGATCAAGGGCCCAAGCTGGCTCTTCTGGCACAGGCGACGGTGGACCACCAACAGCGGAGAAGGTTGGAGGCCTGGAATGTGGCATAGAATAGGCATGTTAAACTTCCGCATGGCATTTAACATCAAGTATTGAACAAAAAAGCATGTGACAAATCCTTTTGGGTCCCGTGCTGCTCTACGAGCACATTTCTCCTGATTTGGCTGGTGTGGTGCCAGCTTGGCTAGTCAGACAAGGTATCTGTATGCGGATTGGAAGCGTCTCCTCTTCTCCGCTGCGATCACCTCACAACACGGAGGAAAAACATGTATCATCTACCCGCCTGCAACCACAAACCAACTCAGCCACCCATTGGTATCTTTTTGGGCGGTAAGTGAGGGCTCTCACAGCCTAACTGATTGGTGAGAAATCACTAAATTTGGTGAAACGTTGCTGAGCTTCTTTCCGACTTGACAGGTGCTTTCCAGCAACATTGGCTGTCAGATTCTTTTGGAATCTGGCCATTAAAGTTTCCTGCCTTGTGCCTTGTGATCTCCTGAGCTTACTTCGCCTTTGGAACACTCAACCAAGGGGAACCCCGGCTTCTGCAGCTGCGTCTCGAATCAGCGAGTCCTCAGCACCGGGATGGTTCTTCCATTTTCTATGCCAACCACTAAAAAGGCCAGTGAGCTTACACCGCCAAAGCGCTATCAGCTCCTCAGGCGAGTCCAGCAATTCCTGTCGCGAGAAGCGGGCAGTGCCTCTGTCACTCCAGTGGAACATGTGAATAGCAAGCACTTTGTCAGCATCAAAACCTGCCAACTTTTGCTGAAGCCTTTTCATCCTCCTCATCTTCCTCAGTCTGCAAAGGTGGAGTTGCTGGTGCTTCCTGTCATCACAAGGCATTGTCGCGAGTCACCCGGCTGGCTGCCGAAGAGGGGGCTCTACTGACACCAAGAGTTCATATATCCGCCACTAGCGCGTCCTGTTCTCGCCCTTAAGAGCGATGGCCTCCACCCTACTAGCGATGGCCTCCAACCTACTAGCGCTGGCCTCCAACCTACTAGTGATGGCCTCCAACCTACTAGCGATGGCCTCCAACCTACTAGCGATGGCCTCCAACCTACCAGCGATGGCCTCCAACCGACTAGCAAAATGGCCTCCAACCCACTAGCAACGGCCTCCAACCGACTTGCGATGGCCTCCAACCTACTAGCAATGGCCTCCAACCGACCAGCAATGGCCTCCAACCTACTAGCGATGGCTCCAACCTACTTGCCATCACCTCCAACCTGCTAGCAATGGCCCCCCCAACCTACTAGCAATGGCCTCCACACTACTAGCGATAGCCTCCACCCTACTATAGCGATGCCTCCAACCTACTAGCGATGGCCTCCACCCTACTAGCAATGGCCCCCAACCTTCTAGCAATGGCCTCCTACTAACGATGGCCCTACTAGTAGTGGTTTTCAAGCTAGTAGCGATGGCCTCCATGCAACCTACTAGCGATGGCCTCCAACCTACTAGTGATGGCCTCCAACCTACTGGCAATGGCCTCCAACCTACTAGCAATGGCCTCCAACCTGCCAACGATAACCTCCAACCGACTGGCAAAATGGCCTCCAACCCACTAGCAGTGGCCTGCAATGGCACCCAACCTACTTGCGATGGCCTCCAACCTACAAGCAATGGCCTCCAACCTACTAGCAGCACTAGCAATGGCCTCCAACCTACTAGCGATGGCCTCCAACCGACTAGACTAGCAATGGCCTCCAACCTTCTAGCAATAGCCTCGGACCTACTAACGATGGCCTCCAACCTACTTGCCATGGCCTCCAACCTGCTAGCAATGGCCCCCCAACCTACTAGCAATGGCCTCCACACTACTAGCGATAGCCTCCACCCTACTATAGCGATGGCCTCCAACCTACTAGCGATGGCCTCTACCCTACTAGCAATGGCCTCCACCCTTCTAGCAATGGCCTCCAACCTACTAACGATGGCCTCCACCCTACTAGCAGTGGCCTCCAACCTACTAGCAATGGCCTCCGCCCTACTATAGCGATGGCCACCAACCTACTAGCGATGGCCCCCAACCTACTAGCAATGGCCTCCAAC